ATTGATAGACAATGGATGGATGGATGGATGGATGGATGGACAGATAATAGATTGATAGACAGACAGATATACAGGGTGGATAGATGGATAGGTGGATGACAGACAAATAGGCGGACAGGGAGACAGGTAGAACACAAGGAAGAAAGAGTGCAGATAAAGGGCATTAACAGGAGAAAACCAGCAAGGTGGGCAGTGAACACGGAGAAAGCTGTGTGGAGGGGTGATTAGCTCACCACGGCTGGCGTGAGGCTGCACCATGAAGATCAGTGCACCCTAAGCTGAGCTGGGGAGGAAGCAGGAGGCCGCTGAACGCCAAGCTAAGGCCCTTGGGCTCTACACTGGGAACACATGCCCTTTTCCATAGACAAATGAGTGCGTGGATGGAGAAAGCCTACAACGGGCACACGTGCAGCGGGAAGCTACAACCACCACCCCGGAAGGCAGGGACACACCCTGACAAGGACAACAACACCGCACAGAACGGAGAGACGGTCAGCCTGGCGAAAGCACACACGTCCATCTACACGCAACCTGCACTAGACTGCTTACTACTCGGGAACATATTTTCATTTTGATGAGGCAGTCTCTGTAGCCTCTTCCAGCCAGTGTCCACATGGCGAAACCCCACCCAGACCGTAAGTCCTAGCTTGGATGTCTGTGTGTGCTTTTTCCAGATTCCCTAGGTCGGAACATCCCAGGAGGCCTGGCGTGGTCACTGAGCTCCTCCCGTCACGTTCTACCGATGGGGCATCTGCGTCGTCCTTGAAGTCGTGGCCAAGGACCCTGCTCCTGGCTGCGTGTTTGTGGCATTACCACGGCACGTGTCCACTCGTAAGAAGAGGCTGCTGCGAGGACACATCCAGACCGCATTCCTGGACGGAGGGGCTCAGATGAAAGCCTGGAGCACCCATGGCCTAGCTCTGTGCCTCCTTCTCTGCAAACCCAAACTGCTCCAGGCAGGCCGGCTCACCTCCCCAGGGGCCAAGGTACCTAGAGAAGCACAGCAGGCCTGCCTCCTCTACCTCTATTTGGATGCGGCGCACCAGGGACGCAAGTGACACATGCATTGTACATTTTAACCGTCATCAGAGCTGTATTTGATTGGAAGTCAACACACAGAAGCAGGTCCCGAAGACTTTCTGGGACACACAACACGCCACCCCTACGTTTTTAGCGAGATGTCCACGTGAAAGAATTATCTTTGCTCCTTACAGGAAACAAACACAAATATCATGTCGTTATGACGCACACCTGAAACCAACACAATGTTATGTCAATTACACCTCACATGGGAGGAGCCTCCTTGAAAACACAAACACAGGCAATATTCCGCCCCCCCCCCCGCCGCCTCCAAAATGCATGTGACAGACCAAAGTGATGACATGAAATTATAGGAACTGAAAGGAACAGAGAAAATCCAATTTATCTCTGTGGGTTTGGGGGTCTTTAGCTGGGTGGGGGAAATCTTCCCCAAATCCCATAATCCCGGGCTAATCCTGACAGGAACATGTGACAAATCCCAGTAGAGCTGAATTTTACAAAATAACTGGTAAGTCTTCAAACTCTCAAGATCTCGAGCCCCGCGTTGGGCTCTGGGCTGACAGTTGGGAGCCCGTTTCGGATTCTGTGTCTCCCTCTCTCTCTGCCCCTCCCCCACCAAGGCTCTGTTTCTCTCTCTCAAAAATTAATAAACATTAAAAAAAAAAAAAGACAGAAAAAAACCAAAGGAGACACGATGACGAAATGCAGTATGGGACACCGATGTGATTCCTGAACACAAAGAAGACACTGGGGGAAACTGAACAACATCGAACAGAGTTGGACTTTAGCCAATCATGTCAGACATGGCACGTTGGAGTAGGATGTTCGGAATGAGGGAAACTGGGTGTGAGTATTCGGGAGCTCTCTGTACTACCTTTTTAGTTTTTCTCCACATCTAAAACTCTTCTGAAAAAGCAACATTTATTTTTAAAACATCAGGTTGAGGAAGAGTAGGGAGAGCTTCTGATCCTGGAGGGTTTCCCTCACTACTACTCCGTGGCTGTGGCATCCGACTACCACGTGCAGTGGCCGGGTTATTGGTTGTTCAAGTTAGAGTCCTAGGCGCTAGCCTCTTATGGATAACACCCCTCACAAGCCCATCACACCATTTCTAATCGGGCAACGTAAACAAATCACATGGCAAGCAATTCTAGCAAGGCTTAGCTGTGAAGCCATCAGGCAATTTTCATACGACTTGTCATAAAACGGCAGTAAGATCGAACGGAGGACTAATCTGTTTCGTGGATGTGTTCCCTGCACCAGTAACATCCCATAAATTAACATTTAAGACCCTCCTTGGAGACGTGGACATAGGAGCCAGTGTCCGGGAATGATGTGAAGGACAAATGAGACCACTGTTATGGGTTGAATTGTGCCCTACGCAAAAGGGATACATCGAAGTCCTAGCCCTGGTACCTGTCAGTGTAATTGTGTGGAAATAGGGTCTTTGCAGATGTAAACAAGTTAAGACGAGGTCATCAGGGTGGCCCTAAATCCAGTGACAGGTGTCCTTATAAGAGACAGAAGAGGAGAGACACAAACAGACACACAGCAGAAGTCATGTGAAGGCAGAGGCAGAGATGGGAGGGGCGTGGCCAGAAGCCCAGGGACGCCTGGAGCCCCAGAAGCTGGAAGAGGCAGGAAGAACCCTTCCTTGGAGCCTCAGGAGGGCACCCAGCCCTGCTCTGCCCGGATCTGAGTGGTCCTGCCCCGTCTGGATCTCAAACTTCCGGTCCTTTGTTGCAGCAGCCACAGTGACACAAATACACCCACATACACAGAGCGACCCGAGAGCTCGCTGGAGACCAAGCCTCACACACAGGTCTGTGTCCTCCAAGATTAGAGCAGACAAGGCCAATGCACTGGCCCAAGTTTAAGCTCCTCCATGGACGTCCAGAACTAGAAATAGCTAAGATGTTCGCGCACTCTCTTAGGCTCGGAGATCCCATAACACAACCATAACATGCACAGAAGATACCATACCCTTTATGCAACAATCCCTTAAATATGTTTCCCTCCACATGAAAAGCGTGTGGAAATCATACACAATGTCCACCTCAAATGATTAATTCGCACGCAAATGTGCACACGCATGTTTATCTCGCCATTCACAACAGCCCAAAGGTGGAACAACACAAGCGTCCAACAACAGGCGAATAGGGAAACACAACGGGGTCCATCCATGATCAGGGTATGACTCAGTCATCAAACGGAATAAAGCACTAACACCTGCTAGCCCACAGATGGGCCCTGAGAACATGACGCTCAGGGAGAGAAGCCAGACACAAAAGGTCACTGATGGTGTGATTCATTTACAGGAAAGCCCAGAATGGGGAAATCCACAGAGACACAAAGTAGATTAGTGGTTACTCAGGGCAGGAGGCACAGAAGGATAGCGTAACGACAGCAGAAGGGTATGGGGTTTCTTTCTGAGATGAAGGAAATTTCTGTAACATTGAATGTGGTGAGGGCTGCACACAGTATGTGACGTGTAGGTCAGTAACACTATTCGAAAAGCAGAAACAAACCAGCAAAATACCGAGAGCCGCGAGATCACGGTTGAGTCATTTCCTCGTTGGGAGAGAAATGGGATGGGGTGTAGACCCAGTCGGACGGGGCACACCCAGACACCCAGATGTGAAATCTGTCCAATCATCAAACACCAATACCGTGCCTTTGTTTCCATACATAGGGATGTGTGGTGAGAAGTGACGGGGCAAAGAGTGGTGATACGTACAGAAACAAACACTGACCTTCATGTTTCCGAGCCGTCTCGTTCTGTCAACGACCAGCAGTTTCTTAATGAGGTCCCTATTGGGGGGAAAGAGACAGAAAGTATACACATCTTGATATGGAAGCGGGCAAGCACAGGACGGCCACAGCCACACGGTCGGCATTTGGAGAGAGGATCAGTTTCCCTTTGGCCTCAACCTTTCCTAGCCCTTGTTTCTTAACCGATTATCAGTTTCTAAGTAACGTATGCAAAGCTGGGTGGGCTACACAGAGATCACAGGGCTGAGGAAACGCGGATGAAATCATTGTGCAGGCTGCTGGTGAGAATGCAAACTGGTGCAGCCGCTCTGGAAAGCACAATGGAGGCTCCTCAAAAAATTAAAAATAGAACGACCCTACGACCCAGCAATTGCACTACTAGGCATTTATCCAAGGGATACAGGCGTGCTGTTTCAAAGGGACACATGCCCCCCAATGTTTATAGCAGCACTATCGACAATAGCCCGAGTATGGAAAGAGCCCAAACGTCCATCGATGCATGAATGGAAAAAGAAGATGTGGGGGGCGCCTGGCTGGCTCAGTCGGTTGAGCATTCGACTTCAGCTCAGGTCGTGATCTCACCGCTCGTGAGTTCGAGCCCCACGTCGGGCTCTGTGCTGACAGCTAGGAGCCTGAAGCCTACTTCGGATTCGGTACCTCCCTTTCTCTCTGTCCCAACCCACTTGCATTCTGTCTGTCTCTCTCAAAACTAAATAAACATTAAAAAATTAAAAAAAAAAAAAAGATGTGGTGTATACACACACACACACACACACACACATACACACACTGGAGTATTACTCGGCAATCAAAAAGAATGAAATCTTGCCATTTGTCACTACGTGGATGGAACTGGAGGGAATTATGCTAAGCGAAATTAGTCAGAGAAAGACAAGTATCATAAGATTTCACTTATATGTGGAATTTGAGAAACTCAACAGATGAACATGGGGAAGGGAAGGAAAATTAAGATAAAAAAAGAGAGGGAGGCAAACCATAAGAGACTCTTAAATACAGAGAACAAATTGAGGGCTGCTGGAGGGGAGGTGGGTGGGGGATGGGCTAAATGGATGATGGGCCTTAAGGAGGACACTTACTGGGGCGAGCACTGAGTGTCGTTAAGTGATGAGTCGCTAAATTCTATTCCTGAAATCACTATCATGCTATGTTAACTAGCTTGGATTTAAATTATGAAAAAAAATAAAGAAGACATTAAAAACATTAAAAAAATCGTTGTGCATAAAATGAGCCTTTTAATATAACATGCAAAAAAAAAATAGATATCGAAACCCCCCAGGCCAATCGAAAGACCCACAGCCCAGATTCAAAAACTCCATGATGCAGCTTTCAGTGACTAAGCTTTCCTGATGTGCCTGATGTCCCGGGCTCAGGAGCACATAGCCAGACTCACACCGCACCCCAGGCTCCATGACCAGCTGGGAAGGCTGACATCCCAAGACCCGTGGTGATCTATGTAATGGTCCAGGGTCCCAGGGTCCCTGGTTGGACCACGGGATGGAAATTCTATACAATATTTTTCATTTCTTTCGAGAGAAAAGAAACCTTTTTGCGTGCTGTATCTGTCTTGGCATCTCAGTGTCTTCGTATTCACGGCACAGGGTGTCCCCCTTCTGGATGGTTATTTTTAAATGGAACCTCCTCTTGCTAGTCTTTTAAAGCCTGCCTGGAGGGTCGCCTGGGAGGCTCAGTTGATTGAGCGTCCGACTTCGGCTCAGGTCATGATCTCACGGTCGGTGGGTTCGAGCCCCACGTCGGGCTCTGTGCTGACAGCTCGGAGCCTGGAACCTCCTTCGGATTCCGTGTCTCTCCCTCTCTCTGCCCCTCTCCTGCTCACGCTCTGTCTGTCTCTGTCTCTCAAAAATAAATAAACGTGAAAAATAAATTTAAAAAGAAACCATTCTTGTGTTTTTAAAAACTTAGGGGCGCCTGGGTGGCTCAGTCGGTTAAGCGTCCGACTTCAGCTCAGGTCACGATCTCGCGGTCCGCGAGTTCGAGCCCCGCGTCGGGGCTCTGGGCTGATGGCTCAGAGCCTGGAGCCTGCTTCCGATTCTGTGTCTCCCTCTCTCTCTGCCACTCCCCCGTTCATGCTGTGTCTCTCTCCGTGTCAAAAATAAATAAAACGTTAAAAAAAAAATTAAAAAAAAAAACAAAACAAAACTTAGTTTTCCGCACCCCCCCGCCACAAACTTCATGAAATGCATTCCCAAAGTTACTAACACTGAACCCACAGAAAAGTTCTTGCAGCAGATGTTCATCAGTCTAAATTTCAGCGTGAAAGAAAGAATTTAGGAAGGAAAATAATTCAAGCAGGAGAAAAAAAGACAAACGTTGCTAAAGTCATCCATGTTTCTGCCAACCGTAAAACTCGATAAAGGAGGGGGGGGGCGATGGGGAGGGGGGACCCTTCTCGTCAAATACCCGAAGGGCTCTCTTAGTAAATGCAATTAACAAATGCCTTCACTGGCTACTTGTAAATGTCATTTCTTTCAAAAGGCATAAAATCCGGCCAAGAGTTGTGAAAAGGGGAAGCATCATTATACGAGAATAATGAGAACGTTTTCCCTTCCAGGGGAAAAGAGAATGACCCAAAGAGTTGTGTCACGACACATTCATAATGCAAGATGCTATCCTGCTGGGCAGATGCCGTGTCTGGGAAATCTGATGTCCTTTCCAAATCAACACGCCCCCACCACCCCCACCAGGAGGAGGAAAAATGGTTTACTTACTTTACACTGAAGTCCAAATGTCTGGGGAAATCTATTTTGCCCGCGAGAATTTTTTGATAAATGCCAAATGGGTTGTCATCAAAAAACGGAGGAAACCTGTAAGAAAAATAAACATCTATTTTTAGCGGAGAGCAAGCACGGAAAAAATCCTGCTTCCTAACGATTTCCACTCCACACACATGCAGGGCACAATTTGTTGCACATGGACTCCTTCCTTGCACGCTGGGGACGCCGGAACCTTGGGACACACGGAGCACGGCTGGTTCCAGAAGGAAAAGAATGCAGCAGAGGAATGGCCAGCGTAGACAAGGCAATGACCATTAGAGCACGCGATCGACTGTGGGGGTCGGCCTCTGGCATTAAAAATGTCACCCCATCACAGGGTGCCTGGGTGGCTCAGTTGGTTGAGCATCTGACTTCGGCTCAGGTCATGAGCTCATGGTTCGTGGGTTCGAGCCCCACGTCGGGCTCTGTGCTGAAAGCTCGGAGCCTGGAGCCTGGTTCAGCTTCTGTGTCTCCCTCTCTCTCTGCCCCTCCCCTGCTCACGCTCTGTCTCTCTCTCAAAAATAAACATTTAAAAAAATAAACAAAAAATTGAAAAAAATAAAAACAAATGACAGAAAACAAAACAGAGCACAGTTGTTTTTATTTTTTTCAATTTTTTTCACCTTCTTACCCTGACAATCTGTGAATCTGAGCTTTTTTGGACACTCTTTGAAAATGTGGGTAAGTGAAGGGTCGGAGATGAGCCGATCCTGGTTGAGGGGGGCCCTGAATCCAATGGCAGATGTCCTTGTAAGAGACAAAAGAGGAGACACAGACACAGAGGAGAAGCCGCGTGAAGGGGGAGGCAGAGACGGGAGGGACACGGCCACGAGCCCAGGGACGCCTGGAGCTCCAGAAGCTGGAAGAGGCAGGAAGGACCGTCCCCTGGAGCCTGCTGGATCTCAGCAGCCCTGCCCGTGCCTGGATCTCAACCTTCGGGTCTCCAGAACGGAAAAACGATAAATTCCTATCCCAAGCCACCATGGTTTTAGCCATCTGTCCTGCCAGCTTCTGATGCACAGAATAGACCCATTACCTCTGCACGTACATTACAGAGAAGTGGAATATGGAAAAAACAAAGAACAGAACAGAACGTACAAAAAAAGGAAATGAATGGGCACGTTGAGGGAGAGGAGGCAGGTGAGAAGGGGACGTGGAAAACGCTGCATAAAGGTGAACGTGTGGCCGTGGGCGACGCAGGCAGGAAATCGCGTTGTTTTCTGAAGTGACGTTCCAGATCCATGAACAGAGACTCAGCGTCGTGCAGACAAGCGCCGTGTCTCGGAGCGGCCGGTGATTAGGGTCTCATGACTCCAACTCCTCCGACCACCGTTGCTTCCAGAGTTACGAGCTGCCCCGTACTGAGAACCCGGCCAGACCAGGCTCGGGAGGAAAGGTCTACACGCACGCAGATTCTCAGCCGGTCCTCACCATCCGACTACGCCTATCAAGTTAACAGCTCCCGAGCCAACCTTCCCTCGTCTGCCAGATGCTTTGTGTAACCAGGGTTGGGAGAGTCGTCGTCGTCCGTTCTCGGGTGGCGGGCCCATCTGAGGACACCGGGCCGTATGATTTCATCGGGGAAACGCGCTCGTCCGACACCAGGAGAAAATGTGTCATACGTACCTAACGACGTTTAAGGACAGCATGAAACAAAGTGTTCTCAGGAAGCAGGCGTTACAGGACCGCGTCACCGGGAAGCTATGTCAGCAGGAGTTTAACAAGCGGAAAAAGAAGATCATCGCTGCATGATGCCTTTTCCAGATCCGACCCAGCCACCTACACCTTCCAGTAGAATGGATCGTCCAGAAAGAGGCCACATCGTGCCAACGTCACGTTCCCCGTCACCCTCTTAGAAAACCACACTGGGGGCGAGCCTGGGGGACATGGGTTCGAGGCAAGAGTCTGTCAAGAAGAAAGAACTTTTCTGCAGAAAAAACAGAAAGGGCAGGTGCGACCCGTTCACCGTTCTTTTCGCTGCTTTTCCTCAAAGACCTGGGACTTGCGTAGAAAACGTAAAACGTGCGTCCTGTAGAAAAAGGGGCAAAGACAACGAGCGGGGCTGTGCGAGGGGGTGAGGGGCCGAGTGTAGGGTAAGAAAGCGTCTGAGGGGCACTCGGTGAAGCCGGCTGGCCACGATCCTCAATACGGGGTCCCAGGGAACCCGAGGGTTCCTCAAGCGTCTGTGAGGAGTTTTGCGATGGCCTTTTTTTTCTGACGGCGGAGCTGAATGTGCATACATTTTTGTTTTTGTTTTCCCCATACAACTCCAGCAATGGTGGCCTCGTTGGTGTGTGGGGGGGACAACTCCAGCTCCTGCCAGGGAAATGTCCCCTGGCCAACACAGGGAGCAGCTGCAGGGAGCAAGGAGGAAATTCAGAACAGGTCCAGGTGAGGGCGGAGTCTCGTACAACTGCAGGGACCAAGGCATGCCCAGGAGGGATCAGCCAGGCTTGTGGCACAGACAGTCATCACTGTCAAGAAATCCCTCCAGGGGCGCCTGGGGGCCTCAGTGGGTTCCGCGTCCCACTTTGGCTCAGGTCATGATCTCGCAGTTTGTGAGTCCGAGCCCCGCGTGGGGCTCTGTGCTGACAGCTCAGAGCCTGGAGCCTGTTTCCGATTCTGTGTCTTCCTCTCTCTCTGCCCCTCCCATGCTCATGCTCTGTCTCTCTCTGTCTCTCAAAACTAAGTAAGCAAAATAAATAAATGAATAAATAAATAAATATTAAAAAAAAAAAGAAAAGTAAAAGAAATCCCTCCAGAAAACCCAGACTCACTCCAACTGGAGATGTGTAAAACAGAAATATGTTAATGTAAAAGCATAGGTACCTGCACTATTTTCTATTCTACTCCTAATATTATATTAGAAATATATTAGAAATCGATGATATTCCATTAAAAAGAGAAACGTTCTATTTTCTAATATTCTAATACAGTGTTTTCTAATATTTGAATGGATTATATATATCCTAATAGTATTTTAATCATCCCAATAATTATTTACATAATTATCCTAATATATTCATTCGAATATGTCCTATTATAATCTAATTTTATTTTATTCTATTTAATTCCAATAATTTCCTTATAGTCTAACAATATGTTCCAAAACTGTACTTACTAACAATATTTCCCATTATTAAATTCTGTAAGTAGAACGTATCCTAATAGAACATAGCTAGCAATACAAAGAAAACCTTGCTCGTAACCTCATCTATTAAAGCCCTGGACGCCAAGGTTCATTTATTGTTAAGCAATGGTGACCTCTAGCGGTCAGTAATATGAAGGAAGGGATATAAGCTGCAGGCCATCTGAGGGGAATCTGATGAATTTGGACGTATAAATATTCACAACCGTTTTATCTTCTTAACGGATGAACCCTGTGTGTGATTCATATTAACCTTCTGGTCTGCCTGGCACTTCACGGGCTGGGTGTCTATTAAGAAATTTGTTTCTGTGTGATTTGCTCGAGACATCTGAGCCAAGAGTTAATGGAAAATACAGAAGACCAGATAGATGACAGATAGGTGATGGGGTAATGGATGGATGGATGGGTGGATGGATGGATGGACAGATGGAAGAGATAGATGGATAGATAGATACATACACAGATGATGATAGGTAAACAGACAGATGGACAGAAAGATCGGACAGATACATAGACAGGTAGGAAGATAGATAGATAGATAGATAGATAGATAGATAGGCAGAAAGACAGATAGGTAGGCAGACACGTTGATAGATGATAGATAGATACAGAGATAGATGAATATAGATGGAGAGCTGGATAGATGGATGGATGGATAGACAGACGACAGTCAGGTAGGTATATAGAGACAAGTGGATTAGATACACAAACAGATAGGATAGATACACAGAATGCATAGACAGACTGGTAGAGAGGTGATCATAGACGACAGACACATGATAGCTAAAACATGATAAATATATAGGTAAACAGTTGATAAATACTGAGATAATCAATAGACACACAAAGAAATTCAGGCTTTCACAGATTCCACGCTGGCCCCACCCTCCGTGCAGAAATACACCCGTTTCCATCATTTTTTTTCAAGCCGAAGGGGAAGGTTTCCAGGCAAAAATCTCTGGTCTTGCCCTACAGGGATATCAGGTGTGGAATGGGGTCCAGGTTTGGCCGAGTGTCTGCTGATCTCCCCAGCAGGAAACAAGCAAGCTAAAGACAGAGGACAAAGGACACGGAGTGAGGCCCGCACATCCAGGAGCCCCCGGCCAGTCTCCTGGCACCTGACACACCGGATGCCCGTCATCCACACCATGAGAGAAGAGCTTTCCTCCATGGGACCAGGAGGAATCCCCACGTCCACACTTGCTAAGCATGGGATGCTTGCTTTATGCTTCTGGTAAAAGAGCGTCACACCCGCGTCATGCCTAAGCCAGACTGGAGTTTTTCACCATGACGATGCCTTGATAACATGTGAAACACCTCTGGCATCCGGACGACGGGACAGGGTGACTTTGCAAACCTCACGCCAAGCGACCATGGGCACGGCACGCTCTCTGCTCCTTCATAACGTCCTGAACTCCATGCGGATTTATTTACTTTCATCCGAAACGTGCTCTAATTGCTTAGCTCTGTCCACTGCTCCAAAAGGGTCCAAGCGAAAGATTTAATATTATATTCACGGGAGGCAGGACCACTTAGACACAGTGTAGACGTCCCAACGGCCGGTGCTTGTGGTGGGCACTTTTGCTCTTACGAAAGCGCACTTACCTGTGGGTCCCCATGGTCATGCTGGCACTGACTGGGAAGCTGGCACAGGTGTTGGCCAGCGGAAAGCACGGTTCTAGAAGCAGGAAAGGGAGGTACCCCGTCAGCAAGTGGACTTCCTTTTTCTCCACGGGAGCCCTACTCACCCCGAGTGCATCTCAAATATCAGGATGCCAAGCGCCCACCAGTCCACAGCTCTCCCGTGGCCTTTGCTCTGGATGACTTCGGGGGCCAGGTACTCGGGCGTGCCACAAAGCGTCCACGTCCTGGGGACAGAGAACAGCATGCACAGAAGAGTTAGCTGTGCTTGGCGAACGCGTGCGTCTCAGGAGGACCACGCGTGACAATGGCTTCGGCCATCACAGCCATGTCCCTCCCCATCCCGCAGACACACCGCGCTGGACAGAGATACTGGCATTGTGGACCAGGATTCGTTCCCTTACCAACACTCATCTATCCCGATACAAGCAAAAATACACGCTTGGTATGACCACCACCCGCCGTTGGCTGTCGCTTCACCATTATTACTCGAAATGCAAAAAAGCCACAGTACCGGTTTTCCTAGGCAATGATACAGAAAACAAATGCAAGAATTCGTTCATAACCTCCTGTCTTGGGGGTCCCATCAAGAGCCCCCAGCAACAAAGTACTTCTGTCCTCAGGGAGGAAATGCTGTGAACTTTCCACCTGCTCCCGAAAAGATCTGACGTGTTTTCAAGGTGTCTGTGGGTTCAAGGTCATTTTACTCTCCCCAGTGGTTTCTAGAAATCCTGAGGTTAAGGGACCCTGGGATATTTGGGGTTGAAATGGAGCAAGGGGGGGCTTTGGGAAGGATTTTCTCCACAGAGGAGGTGAGACTTGCCAAAAATTTAGCTTCTAGCCCCGCGCAGAGGACCGTGGGCTGGAAGTGAGGGAACCGCAGAATGTCGTCATCCGAGCCCCCCCACCGTCGCGGTGCTTTGTTACGGCAGCCTTGGGAAAGGCACGCACTCCCCACGCCGGCCACTCACATGCAGAACCTTCCTTCTGAAGCACCTGCGGGCTGGACCCGCACGTTCTACGGGACACGGTGTGTCGTCTCAGGGAACATAAGTCAACTGATGGCAAGGAACAGAAAACCTCTGAAAACCCAAGTCTGGAGGTCCAGAAGACGGTCATACTGACTCCCACGTGGTCTCACTGGATGGCTGACGACCCCTCGCCCACTAAGACTCTGATACGTGAGACCCTGAGCCCATCTCCAGAACACCTCTGCCCACCTTGCCAACTTACGGGCTCCCAAGGCTGCCTGAAGCCAGCTGGCAATCGGGCTCTGAGCTCCTAAATGCACAGGTGGCCGCATTATATATACATTAGGTACAGCGTCTCCACTTCCATTTGGAAAGGGGAGTATCTTTCTGGCTCTGTCCTAGCGTAAGGGGCACAGAGGGAATTTCTAAGTGGCCTGGGGTAGGCGGACACCTCTCTAGAGGAAGAGCCTCCGGCTAAAGCGTCTAGTGCTTCTTGGCTGCACAGAGAGGCATAAATTGCAACAGAGAGCTTCGGACCTCAGTAAGTAGGTAAAGACAGACAGACAGCCCTGGATGTTATGCAGAGACCGCCGGCGCAGGCTGTGAATTGTCTATGCACCTGGTCTCATGTCTCTCAGCTCACTCGGCTCTCGGAGAGAAGGCAAGGGGACACCCGAGGTTCTCAGTTTGCGCACGGCTATCACTTCCACTGTGTGGGCGGCGTTAACGGAAGAAAAACACGACTCTGCAAAGCGCACCTCGAATCGCTCGTCCTGGCACCTGTACGGAGGTGAACGGTCTTCCCCCAAAAGTCCTAAACCCCAGAGCCCGTGGATGTGATCTTATTTGGAAATAGGATCTTGCTGATGGAATCAAGTTAAGAGGAGGTCATATTGGATGAAGATAGACTAACTCGGTAACTGGTGTCCTTATAAGGAGGGGGACAGACAGAGACATCTCTTTCTACCATGTGAGGACACGGTGAGGAGGCAGCCATCAATCCTATCATACTAGGCTCTCACTCTCCTGACCTCGTTTAACCTCAAGTACCTCCTAAAAGCAGTGTATCCAAATGCAGTCACTTCGGGGGGTTAAAGTTTCGATATATGAATTTTGGAGGGACATAATTCAGTCCACAGTAATGGTGGTGATGGAGATGGTTGTGAAGGTGAGGACAGTGATGATGATGGTGATGATATTGATGATGATGGTGATGGTGATGATGACTGTCATAGTGATGATGGTCATGGTGGTGATGGTCATGGCAGTGATGGTCGTGGTGGTGATCTCGGCAATCATGGTGGTCATGATGGTCAAGGTGATGATGACAGTTATAGTGATGAGGGTCATGGTGATGATGATGGTCAAGGTGATGATGACGGTCATAGTGATGATGATGGTCACAGTGAGATGGTCATGGCAGTGATGGTCGTGGTGGTGATCTCGGCGATCATGGTGGTCACAGTGATGGTCAAGGTGATGATGATGGTCAAGGTGATGATGACGGTCATAGTGATGATGGTCATGGTGGTGATCTTGGCGATCATGGTGGTCATATTGATGATGGTCAAGGTGATGGTCATGGTGATGATGATGGTCAAGGTGATGATGACAGTCATGGTGATGATGGTCAAGGTGATGATGACGGTCATGGTGATGATGGTCAAGGTCATGATGACGGTCATAGTGATGATGGTCAAGGTGATGATGATGGTCACAGTGATGATGGTCAAGGTGATGATGACGTTCATGGTGATGTTGATGGTCAAGGTGATGATGACAGTCATAGTGATGATGGTCAAGGTGATGATGATGGTCACAGTCATGATGGTCAAGGTGGTGATGACGGTCACAGTCATGATGGTCAAGGTGGTGATGACGGTCACAGTGATGATGGTCAAGGTGATGATGACGGTCACGGTGATGATGGTCAAGGTGATGATGACGGCCACAGTAATGATGGTCATGGTGATGATGATGGTCAAGGTGATGATGATCATGGTGGTGATGGTCAGGATGGTGATGGTGATGGTGGTGATCTCGGCGATCATGGTGGTCATGGTGGTCAAGGTGATGATGACAGTCATAGTGATGATGGTCAGGGTGGTAATGGGGACAACGGTGATCTTGGTAATCATGATGGTCAAGGTGATGATGATGGTGGTCATAGTGATGATGGTCATGGTGGTGATGGTGATGGTGGTGATCTTGGTGATCATGGTGGTCATGATGGTCAAGGTGATGATGATAATGGTGGTGATGGTGATGAAGGTGACGACAATGGATGGTCATAGTGATAATGATGGTGATACTGATGGCAGGGATGATAAAGTCAGAAGCAACATATGTATGCTCAGTGCTTACTATGTGCCTGGAAATGTCCTAAGTATGTACTTTCCAATTAGCAGATCCATCCATTCTTAGCAACAATCCTAAGGAGTAGGAATAATTTTCACTTCACCGATGAGCAAAGCAATGGATGGCAAATATCCTCAGGGCATTGGGGTGCCTGGGAGGTTCAGTCGGTTGAGCGTGGGACTTCGGCTCAGGTCATGATCTCACAGCTCATGGGTTCAAGCCCTGCATCGGGCTCTGTGCTGACAGCTCGGAGCCTGAAGCCTGCTTCGGATTCTGTGTCTCCCTCTCCCTCTGCCCCTCACCTGCTCTCTATCTCTCTCTCTCAAAAATAAACAAACATCAAAAAAAATGTGATAAAGTATTGATGTTATTTTTTTAAATCACTCTCCATTAGAGATAGCATGGTGAGTAATTACTTTAAAATAATGTAACAAACAGTGGCGCCTGGGTGGCTCAGTCAGTTGAGCGTCTGACTCTTGGTTTTGGCTCAGATCAGGATCTCACAGTTCATGAGATCAAGCCCCAAGTCAAGCTCTGTGCTGACAGAGCAGAGCCTGCTTGGGATTCTCTCTCTCCTTCTCTCTACTCCTCCCCCACTTGCTCTGTCTGTCTCAAAATAAATAAACTTAAAAACAAGTTTGAAAAAATAAAAAGTAAATAATGTAAGAAAAAAATGTGGGAGAGGTAAAAACTCAAATCAGGTTGAGCACTGGGTGCTGTATGGAAACCAATTTGACAATAAATTTCATAATAAAAAAATAAATAAATAAAGCCCCCCCCCCAAAAAAAACCCTCAAATCAGGTGGCAAAGGTTTGATGCCCACTGAATCTGGGTGAGAGGCATACAGGATTCAAGGTCAACAATTCTCTCCCCTCTGGTGGGTGTTTGAGAACGTTAAGGAACTATTGTAAAAGACTGGCAACAATGTTACTTATTACCTAGCAAGATGTCAGGCACGAAAATCCAAAGGACGGCACTCAATGAAACATGTGAATTTTAAAAACTACGGAGGCGCCTGGGTAGCTCAGTCGGTTGAGCGTCAGACTTCGGCTCAGGTCATGATCTCGCGAGATCTCGCGTGATCTCGCGTGAGTTCGCGCCCCGCGTCGGGCTCTGTGCTGACAGCTCGGAGCCTGGAGCCTGTTTCCGATTCTGTGTCTCCCTCTCTCTCTGACCCTCCCCCGTTCATGCTCTGTCTCTCTCTGTCTCAAAAATAAATAAACGTTAAAAAAAAATTAAAATAAAAAAAAATGAAGTTGTTTGTCAAAGCAATAGATCGAGATGGTAATGAGGCCTTCTTTCCCCGAACTCAATGTCTTAAGTAAATTAACTGCATGACGTTATCTACAACACCACCGTCATCCATTTAGTCTTAAATGGACATGATGGGTTAACTGCAGAGGAACACTGCTCGCCAAACTTAGAGGCAAGCGAATGCGTGAAACATTTTAAGGCGGGATGGTTGGAATCAGACTTCCAAATAAAAGGACTTAAAGAAAACGAAAAGCGGAGAAGGGAGCGTAAGGACTTTCTACGACGTGATGCCAACGGGGGACGGCCCCAATATTCTAAACCAGCTACGATGTGTTAATAGGGTCTCCGTTCACAGGGGTATGGAAGACCAGTTTGCTTTTATGGGCCTTATTCTTACAAAGGGAATACGGGAAATTCCACGGGGATAATCAGATGGAAGTTGACCGCATCACAACGTGCATAACTGCTCCCGACCAAAATCAACGTTCTCATAAATGCAGACGTTTCCATAACATGAGGAATAGAATTATCACCTTAGCTATCCCCACGTCATCAAGAAATGGAAAAATATGGGGAGGTTTTTCTTTTCTTTCTTTTCTTTTTGTTTTTTTTTTTAAGATTTTATTTGTAAGTAATCTCTACACCCAACATGGGGTTCAAACTCGCAACCCTGAGATCATGACCTGGAATGACTATGGAATTGAAATTTTAATCCACTTTTAATGAATTTAAACTTAAAACTTGTTTAATGTGTATTCATTTTTGAGAGAGACAGAGTGCGAGCGGGGGAAGGAATAGACAGAGAGGGAGGCAGAATCCAAAGCAGGCTCCAGGCTCTGAGCTGTCAGCACAGAGCTGGACGCGGGGCTCGAACTCACGAACTGCGAGATCATGACCTGAGCCGAAGTCAGACGCCCAACCGACTGAGCCACCCAGGTGCCCCTACACTTAAATTTAAAACCCAATACTCACTACAGTTGCTGAGAAAGTTTCCAGTATTTTTGGAAAGCCTGGCCATGTGTGTCTATCTTCCCAACTGTAAATTTTATGGGTGAAAGCACAGAGCAAGTGTTTCTGATGAAAACGTAGTACCCTGAGATGCACCAAAAATTCACGTAAACGCGCCCAACTGTTTGCACGGGTTATGTGTTGGAATAATCATACTTGAGATGGAGTGGGTTAAGTATGCTATCTTATTAAAATTTTACTTTTTAAAACAAGGCTTCTTGGGGCACCTGGGTGACTCAGTATGTGGGGCTTGTCTGGGTCTAAAGGTTTGGTTTTGGATAGAATTTTAGATCCTGAGTCCAAAGAGGCAAGTAAGGTGGAAGGATATAGAGACGGGTGTGGAAAATTTTCTTTCACGCTGTGTAGACACTCCCATCACATCGCATGTCGGTTTTGTAGGTTTTTTTGTTTCTTTTGTTTTCAGGTTATTTGGATGAAATATTTTTGATGAAGTATCTGATGAGATATTTTTGATGAAATATGCCACGAATGCGCCGTGCTTAAATGCATGGGATTTACGGTACTGTCTGCCCTGAATTGTATCTATAAAGGCTGAATTACTCCTCACGGAGAGAGAATATGGTCTCTGTGATTGGCGGCACTTAAAGACCCGTGGAAATCAACACACACGGGCTTTACAAGTGCATTAGCCTCACTTAAGCTAAAGGCTGGACGTTTATACGTTGTATATTCTATGATCGTACACACTAGGTCCGAACATGTCCTCAGCTAAATGGAGCACTGCGGATCATGGGGCGAAGCGCACACAAAAAAAAGCATCGTATGCCCAACTGCGTAAGATTTCACCTTATAGAATTATTGTTTGCTCCTGGAACTCAACTCATCCCCGATCCAGCATCTGTGCTCTTACTCTCACGGTCGCTCAAAAATCATAAGCATTCAAGAAAAATTTTTTTAAAAAAAGAAGTGGCCGGGATCGGGGGGAGGGGAGAGAGCTCCATGCACAGTACACATGCACCTGTATGATTGTGATAAAAAGAATCACTAATTCGACATACACCCCCGCACACCTGTCAAGGGCTGGAATCAAAAAGGCAAGACAGGAGAGGTGTTGTCAAGGATGCAGAGAAAAGGGAACCCTGGTGCATGGGGGGAGTATTATTCAGCCCCGAAAAAGCAGGTCCCGCCATTTGCAACCCCACGGATAGACTTGAGGCCGCTATGCAAGGAAGGGAAGTCTGGCACAGAAGACAAAGAAGGCAGGACGTCACTTACACACTCGCGGCCACGGAGCACACAACACTGGCCTCCGGACGCGGCACCGGGCGAGTGGGCTGAAACGGGTGAAAACGGTCACTCACTTGTCTACCAGTTTCTTGGCGAACCCAAAGTCGGTGAGCTTGATGTGGCCATCCCTGTCCAGCAGTATGTTTTCCGGCTTCAAGTCCCTGTAGACGATCTCCTTTGAGTGCAGGTACTCAATGGCGCAGACGATCTCCGCAGAGTAGAACAGCCCAGAGCTGCTGGAGAAGCGGCCTCGCTTCCGCAGGTAGCTGAAAAGCTCGCCGCCGGGCACGAACTCCATGAGCATGTACAGGAAGCGCTCATCGTGGCACGTCCAGAACCTGTGGGACGGCACATGGGAGTCAGAGCTGCGCCAGGGACACACAGACGTTAGGGCGCGGGCGTGAACGGGCAGTAAGACGCCGTATGGACAGGAGCGCGGGGCGGGCTCAGTGGGTTAAGGATCTAGCTCTTTTTTTTTAATTTTTTTTTTCAACGTTTATTTATTTTTGGGACAGAGAGAGACAGAGCATGAACGGGGGAGGGGCAGAGAGAGAGGGAGACACAGAATCGGAAACAGGCTCCAGGCTCCGAGCCATCAGCCCAGAGCCCGACTCACGGACCGCGAGATCGTGACCTGGCTGAAGTCGGACGCTTAACCGACTGCGCCACCCAGCCGCCCCAAGGATCTAGCTCTTGATTTCGGCTCAACTCACGATCTCATGGTTCATGGGTTTGATCCCTGCATCAGGCTCTGCACTGGCAGTAAACAGCCCATTTCAGATTCTTTCTCTCCCTCTCTTGCTCTCTGCCCCTTCCCCACTCTCTCTCTGTAAATAAATAAATAAATAAATAAACTTAAAAAAAAGGAAGGTGCCGTATACTTAGATATTGAGATATTCACATAGGGGAACAGATGCTTGAATATGCATACGTAGATGTAATCTGCTACCATGTTTTTCGTTTGTTTTTTGCTGTTTATTTTACTTTTGAGACAGAGAGCACGTGCACGGGGGAGGGACAGAGGTAGAGGGATACACAGAATCCGAAGCGGGTTCTGTGCTAAGCGGAGAGTCCAATGAGGGGCTCGGACTCACAAACTGTGAGATCATGACCTGAGCTGAAGTCAGCCACTTCACCAACTGAGCCCCAAGAGCATGTTGTGATAACAAAGTGTCCCACAGGATGAATTCTGTCACCCAAAATTATATGCAGAAGCCGTATGCCCAGGACCTCAAAATGTGATCGTATTAGGGGATAAGGTCCTTAAAGAGGGGATTAAGGTAAAATGGGCTCACCAGGGTGCCCGGGGGGGCTCAATCATTTAAGCGTCTGATTTCAGCTCAGGTCACGATCTCGCGGCTCGTGAGTTCGAGCCCCACATCTGGCTCTGTGCTGACCGCTCAGAGCCCGGAGCCTGCTTCGGATTGTGTCTCCCCCTCTCTCTGCCCCTCCCCTGCTCATGCTCTGTCTCTCTCAACAATAAACGAATGTTAGAAAAATAAGAAATGAAATCAAAATTAAAACGCATGTTCATTTTGCCGACCATTGACGGGTACACGTGCTACCAAGCCACGGTCGTATACGCAAAAGGTGTCCGTGAAATGCGTGTGCAAACGCACAGCGCCTTCGGGGTGAGGATGCCTTTCGGGACGGCACCTGTTCACTCGCGGCCTCTGCACGGATGCCATGTTGTCTCCAAGCTGGTACAGGGAGTGCAGACGTGAGGACTTCTTTTTTTTCATTTTTTTTTTTTTAAGGTTTATTTATTATTGAGAGACAGAGAGACACAGAGCATGAGCAGGGGAGGGGCAGAGACATGGAGAGACCCAGAATCTGAAACAGGATCCAGGCTCCGAGCTGTCAGCACAGAGCCCGACGCGGGGCTCGAGACCGTGACCCCAGCCGACATCGGACCCTTAACCGACTGGGCCACCGACTGACTTCTTGATTAGTAAAGCAAGAACATTCCTTCCGGGGAGGCTTCACTACCAAGGCTCGGTGTCACAAATGCATATGGCAGGCACCCTCTGCTGTCGTGGGGATCCAACAATGAATCCACCGTTCTGGTGGGCAAATATGGTCTAGGCTCCAGATAGCACCTGGGTGGTACACGTGTAGAATGAAACCTGTATGTAAGCCGGAGACACTGTGGATTTCTCTGGAACAGGACGGGTGGTAAATTTGGCTAGAACCCATCGGAAAAAGCATGGTGTTCCAGAGTTTGGGCATGGCACTCAGCCCTTGAAAAGACCCCAAGTGGCCAAAACTACACAGGTCACGGCACTACCGTGTTCTACAGCTGTGAATTTGGTTGAAAAGCTGAAAAAATACGCAGGACCCTACCTTCCCACCTCGCAAATGCGTAAGTACGTGCATGCGTGTGCATGCACGCGCGCACACAGTCTCTTCATCAATTAGGATGCACCCATTCTGTGGATATATCCTGTTGTCGCTCCTACTGATTCGCAGCCAGGATCATAATCCACGCAGAGCCTTTCTCAGCTCTAGAGAACAATGCAGCGCCATGTTTTCATGCAACCTGATTTCACCCTTCAAAGGCACAGGAGAGAATTCACAATGGGGGAGATTAGAACAGGGCCAAGAGACAGCCAGTGGTAAGGAATGAAAGGGAGCTTTTGGGATTAATCAGCCAAGTGGAAGGTGCATAGACCCAAGGACTGCATGGGTGGAGACCAGGAGACCCAGGCAGAAGGAGTGGGTCAACGACAGGAGTCTGTCACCTGCGTTCCAGCTGAACTGCAATTTGGGGCACGAGCAGGTTGACATACAGACGTATCTGGGCAAAGATAGGACTTAGTGTCTACCCTTCTGCTCCCAATTTCAACACGCATCGCTGTTCCTTCCCCCACACCATGAAGCGATTCTGGGACACCAACCCGGCATCCTACAATTCAACTCAATTCTGACACGGTCGACCTGGAGACCACAGAGATCCCACAGGAGAAGGGCGCAGTCCTAAAACAATGGCCCAGCACACACACTTCAGACGCCAATTCCAAGTCCGGCTTGTCACCCAAGACCCCTCCTTGGGTTCCATTAATCTGCTAGAGCGGTTCACAGAGCTCAGGGGAAACACCGGTTTAAGATAAAGAGATAGAAGCCAGGAATGGCCGAGATGGAAGAGAAGCGGGGGGTCAGGTGTGGGGAACCTTCCGTGCTCTCTCCAGGTGAGCAGTCTCCTCCAAATCTCCCCAAGTTCACCAACCAACTCGGAAACTCCCAAACCCCGTCTTTCTGGGATTTCATAGAGGCTTCATCAAGTAGGCGAGGTTGATGAAATCATTGGCCTTTGGGGATTAACTCAAACTCCAGCCCCTCTCCCCTCCCCGGAGATGTGGGGTGGGTCTGAGCAGCCCAAGCCTCCAATTACAGGATTAGTTTCCCCGGCAACCAGCCCTCTGCCCTGGGGGGGCGGGGAGGTTCTCCAAAAGTCACCTCATTCACATAACAAAAGCCACCTTTGTCACTCTGCTCCCTTAGGAAATTCCAAGGGTTTTAGGGCCTCGGTGCCAGGGACAAAAAGAACAAACATCTATTTCTTGCCAAAAATCCCAACATCACAGGGACAAATGTCACACACTAACGACTGAGTGGGGCACAGGACAGCGGTGTGTAAGGATATGTGGAGACACATCTGTCCCACAAATCTCTCAATAAGATCCAACAAAGCATCAATAACAATCCTACGAAAGTCACTATATATCAAGTGTGCTGTGGAGTACTCCCCAAGTAGTCGAAAAACAAGGCTTTTCTCGTACGGAGAGAAGGTGCAACGCGTGGGGGGTTACTGATAAGAGCCACAATATTCAAAGACACAATGGCAAGTATTTAGTCATCCCTTGGGGCTTGCGGGCAGAGACGAGGGGTCCAGGTGGCCACAAACGACTTAAAATCTGAGCCTAGAGAAGGAGAAACAGGATGAATCATGTTGGCCAATCCGCTTGTTAATTAATACCAGTTCATTGCGGGGCTCCGCGCCTCGCGTAGAGGCTAAAAAACAATGAAAATGCAAGCGCAGAAAGAAGTAAGTGGGTTTATCACGAGTGGGATGAGAAAAGGAGTCATTCCTGGGTCGAAAATTCAGTATGTAGGGGCATCTGCGTGGCTCAGTCGGTTGAGGGTCCAATTCTTGACCTCGGCTCAGGTCACGATCTCATGGCTCCTGAATTCAAGCCCCGTGTGGGGCTCTGCCCTGACAGCACAGAGCCTGAGTGTGTGTGTGTGTGTGTGTGTGTGTGTGTGCGCGCACACGCGCTTTAAGGACACAAAGATCTGTATCAGACTGTCCATGTGATTACCTGGCACTGAAGGAGGGTGGGAAGAAGAGACAAAGGAAAGCCCTACACAAGGGGAGCAGAAAAAGAAAAGAAAACCAACAAGAGAAAATGCTTCAGCTCCTCCACAAACAGGAAGGAGATATAACTCGACACGGAAAATGCAGCCAAGCAGTTAAAGCAGGTACACGAACAGATAGTTGGCATTAACACAAAGTACGAGAGCCAGAACGTGGAAACAACACAAGTGTCAATGGATGGATGGATGGATGGATGGATGGATGGATGATGAACGGATGGATGATGGATGGATGGATGGATGGATGGATGATGAACGGATGGATGATGGATGGATGGATGAATAGGTGGATGGGTGGATGGATGGATGGATGGATGGATAGAAAATGGGTGGATGGATGGATGGGTGGACGGATGCATAAACACCACGTGGTTCATGCACACAGTAGAATATGACTTAGTCTTGAAAAAGGATGTTCTGCATCGGCCACAAGGATTGACATTGAGGAACTGATGCTCAGTGACATAAGCCAGACGCAGAAGGACAAATTCTGCCTGATGCCACGTATACGGGGTCCCTGAAGGCATCACATCCATAGAGATGAGAGTAGATGGTAAGACGGGGGGCTGGGGATAAGGAACAGAGCCAGTGTTTAAGAGGGCAGAGTCTCAGTTTGGGGAGACGGAAAGTTCTGGAGATGCTGGTGGGGATGCTTGCACAACAGCGTGAATGTGCTCAATGCCACTGAGCTGTGCACTGGAAAATAGGTAAAATGGCCAATTTTCGGTTCAGGTGCATTGTAGCACAACGAAGAAATGATCGTTTTGAAACGCATTCCAGAGCACGTGGGAATCTACGGAAAGCAAACGCAGCTTGACCCTGACCACAACCCCCAGCAACACCTTCGACGTGACACCGACCAACCCGCCGTCTTTCCCTTGCAAAGCGTGTGGCCGTCGTAGCCGATTCGAAAGTCAGCCTCCTTCATTTAACAACGGCTGTCGTCCTGTCTCCCGACGCCGGG